TAAACTTCATGTTTAGGCTGATGGCTTTGCCAAAGCCTTAATAAATTTAAAAAAAAAAATTATTTGAAGCACTAGAAATACGACCCTAATGGCAAGGTTCGTATGATTTCGTATGATGAATTCGAGTATGATTTCTTGTACTTTGAATCATACTCAAGTCCTGACTTGAGCATTGAGTAGAGTTCTAGAATACGACCCTAGAACCAATATTATATGCCCACCAATAATCACGTCCAATTCTAATTTTCTTCAAATTGAAAGGGAAGAAAGAGAAATAAAAACCTCTAATATGAAATGCGTAAAAGGAATAGCAAGCGCGTTTTGTCTCCTTTTCTATTGTATTATTTTAAAATCTATCTCACTCGAAAGTCAAATATTACTTCTCGAACAAGAAATACAAAAGTGCGCTGGTTCAAGCGGTCTGTGATATCTATAAAGTGACGAAATTTTTTTTACTACTTGACGTTTTTCGAGAAATCTCATTGAAAAGCAAGATTTTTTAATAATTTTTGCGATTTCACTCAGTCTAATGAAAACTAAGCACATTCGTTTGCATTGAGGTGGTTAAATCAATATTAATTATCACTAATTTAATGAATTGAAACTATAATTTTATTTGTACGTCCGCTCCGTATGTTAATCACATGCAATTAGCCCTTGGTTTATTTAACGCTGTGAGTGCGATCTCGATAAAAAGTTGGTGAATCATTATAATTTGTTATTGTTTGAATACATTTTGTTTTCCGTTTCACTATATTTTTTCCCATTTGATAAAGTGTAATCAAATCAATATTTTTCAAGAAAGACGTACGCATATATTTCTCAACGTGTTAAAATTGTGTGATTCACACGCACTGCAAAGGAAAGAGCAAGAATCGTAGTGATAACATACTAATATGTATTCATTTTCTGTGCATAAATATTCTTTGTTAGGGCAATAACGGAACAAAAAATATTGTTACAGATTGAAAATGTTGCGCTTTCGTCCCAAATTAGGAAGTGAACGCAGCAGCGAATGGCGCTGCTGCTTCTGCCTCCACGTTCGCACTGGCACCATCCTACTGGGATCATGGCATTTGGTAAATTATTATTAAATTTTCTCCACTAAATGGGGTGAAGTCATCTTTTGCAGAGCTAAAAACCGAACAGTTATTTCCTGCAATGCAATGCATGCAGAGTATAGCTAGTCTAATTTAATGAATAAAAACAAACAAAAATGTATATATAGACCAAAGACCCTTGACTATATCAAAGTAACATGATAAGAAAACAAAATTTTGTGAAATATGTAGGTATGGTATGATGTGATTGATGGGCTGGTGCAACATCAAGTTGCCTATTTTGCATGTGCACTTAATATGTCACTATACTATACATGTACTATGACTGTTATGTAATCTGCAAACAGCTTCACTAAAAGAATAATGGCATACCTTGGGTATGCACATAGGAAATTAAAATAATAAAGTCATAAAGTAAAATAATAAGTCCTTTTTTCTTTACTCAATAATATATATAGTAAGTTGTGATAGCATAATGGTTTGACCTATCCCTTCTCAAGCAGAGGGCATGGGTTTGGATTTGGGCTTGCACCTCGTGAGTTTTTTATATTTATATGCAAAATTTTATTAGAGATTTTGAAAGTACAGCCCTAGCCGTGTCATTGTGAGAGATGTGCTCTGCCCAGCCGTGGGACTATATATTGGCTAGTTATTATTATTCTTTACTTAGTGAGAGCATTTTGAAATGCAAAAGCCTATGATAGTATGACTGCAACTTTCTGGCTAACCCTTTTGAATATACTAAAGGCCAGTTTGTGTACTCATTGCACTGTGATTCCCCCATAGGCCATAAATCAAAAAAAATCATTGGCTTATCCCGGTTAGATCAACTCACTAAGTTAGTAACTAGTTAACAAGCTTCCAAAAACTATAAATATCAATGTAATTAGGTCACGTTATCATTCACTTTTGTGCATCGGAAGTGAGCGCATCGCGAGACTAATTATCACCACGTGTGAGTCATCGAAACTTAATCACTTTGTTTTTGAGTGTCACTATTCCAAATCAAGTGTTTACGTGTTGTGAAAGCATGGAGATCCAAGAGCATGGTATGTACTTTTATTATCAATTTTTTTTAATTTTTTTTATGCATACTTTTTTTTATATAATTTTTTTATTGAAGGCAGTTTTTTGGTGAAAATTTTTGGCATAACTTAATTTCCTTTAGACCTACAACTTTTGGCTGCGCTGAGCTGCACCTGAGGTATATGGTTTTTGAATAAGGAGTATGTCCTTATTAAGAGCTATAAGTTTCATTTGCATCTTGCTGCCTCTTCTTGGCTTAAAGGGGTGTCAAAGTATGCATGTCCATAGTATTGAATTTTTAATTTTTTTTTAAGTTCAGCTTTCATATTGTTTTAGGTACATTTTTCAAATGTTCTGTATCGAGGATGACAATTTTTGATATTTGGCACTCTAAAGTGGGTAATCCAAATGAAAAAATGCAACACGTCCTGAGCACTTTGACCGAAACATCATCCCTTTCTGACGACATCGAAAATATTGATTTAGAGACTTTAAGCCTTAAAATTAAGAATATTTGTAAACGAATTTCCCACTACTGGGCAAAGTCGAATCGTACTAGATCTAAATTCTTAGAAAAATATTCAGATTGGCTGCATGTCGTTGAAAATATTGATGTACAGCGAACTGAGTTACGTGTATCTCAGAGCTTTGACGAAGTTAAACCATCAACTTCTTCATCGCATGGCCGTCCGAGAATTAACTTTGACGACACCAGTAAACGTACAAAAAGGAGAAGATTGGCTAGTTTGTCTAACCAAGACCCTTCTCTTGTACAGTCATTGCTCAATGCGTCCGATAGCTTGTCTTGTCCTGAAATCGATTCTAGCGAAGTTTTATCGCTCATTGTTGAAGCTCAGTTAACTCGACATCAATATATATTAGTAAAGAAATTTATAGACAATAAGTTTTCAAAAACCATTTTCCCATCTTACCAAAGTGTCGTGGAATCTAAAAAACACTGTTATCCTTCAGATATTACTGTTACAGAATCATCCGCCGAAGTCGAACTTCAAAGTTTATTAGATCATACTGCCAATCGGATTCTCAAGTCTCAAAAAGATGTTTTGGATAGTGTACCTAATGAGTCTCTAGATAAGATATCTTTGATAGGGAAATGGGGTTTCGATGGCAGTACAGGGCATTCAGAATATAAACAGTGTTTTTCTGACTCCACTCTTGAAGACAGTAGCCTGTTTGTTACTTCGTATGTGCCACTTCAGCTTGTTTTGACAACAGATAACAAAGAAAATTCAGTAGTTTTGTGGAAAAATCCTCGTCCTTCATCAACTCGATACTGTCGTCCTATACGCCTCCGATATTTGAAGGAATCGACTGCAGTGTCAGTTGAGGAAGAAGCTCATTTTAAAGATAAAATAAGGAACTTGCAGCCTACTGTTTTCAAGGAAGAAGATCGCGAATATCGCATTACTCATTGTTTGCAACTTACTATGGTAGATGGTAAAGTGTGTAATGCACTTAGTGGTGTTTCTTCATCAAAATATTTTATTTGTAACGCCTTGCCCAGTGAAATGAACAAAATTGACGAATGTTTAAATAAGGAAGTCGATGAGAGTAAATATGAATTTGGTTTATCACCTCTTCACGCGTTAATACGTTTTTTTGAATATTTTGTTCATGTCGCGTACAAGTTAGATGTTAGGAAATGGCAAGCTAGGCCCGCTAATGACAAAATGCTTGTTGCTGCAAAAAAATCATATGTTCAGACTCAATTTAGAGAAAGATTAGGGCTTATAGTGGATAAGCCTAAAAGTGGCTGAAGCGGAACATCAAACGATGGTAATACAGCCAGGCGGTTTTTCTCGAATTCAGAAATTTCCGCTGAAATTACTGGGATCAAGAAGGATCTCCTAGATCGTTGCTGGATCATCCTTCAATGTTTAAATTCGGGATATAATATTAATAAGACGAACTTCGAAGAGTTCGCTTTAGAGACGGCTCGGCAGTTAGTTGCCGAGTATCCGTGGTATAACATGCCTGCTTCCGTTCACAAAGTTCTAATTCATGGTGCTAATGTTATAGATTACGGTTTGTTGTCAATCGGAGAGTTGTCTGAAGAAGCAGCTGAAGCGACTAACAAATACATCAAGTCTTTTAGAAAAAATCATACGCGTAAAATGAGTCGCATTGTGACCAACACAGATTTAGTAAATAGGCTGCTTCTTCATTCAGATCCCTTCATAACAGGTCTACGAAGTTACCTGTTAAAAAAAAAGGTGTACTGTCAAAAGCTGTATTAGACTTGTTATGTATTTAAAGTTAATATTGTTGAGATTTAATGTATTTTGGTATAATTTGTGTTTTGTTTGTATTTTGTAAAATGAACTTTTTTATGTATTTTTATTGTTTTAATTTATTCATTTGTGGTTATTGTTAATACAAATAATCATTATTTACACAGTTTTACCATTAAAAGTCGCAGTATAAAATGTTTTAGATACATCGTCTAAAAACAAAATTACTGCGAGACATTTTTACACCTAAATATTGTCAAATATTTTTTTAAATGTATAATTTTATTAATTTACGTTTACCTAATCATATTTTAAAGTAATAAAATAAAAAAATAATAATAATTTCGGAGTTACGTATTTATGACCGCCTTAGTATGGAGCGTGAATCACCGTGCATTGAAGTCTGAATATGTGGTTCATATAATAGTAAATGTAAGATAAAGTACACTGCCGCTGTACATTAGTGATGACCACTGCTGGCAAAGTAAGCCAAGAAAGTGACAATGAGGTCGAGAATGAAGCATACACATGTACATAATGCCATTGACTCACTCATTAATAAGGCCCAAGTTATAGCATTCACGGAAGAATTTTCCAGACAGGGAATTCCACTCCAATGATTCCCATGATATGAATGTGGAAGCACATTGCTTTGTGCAAATCTTGGGAGTATCGATAACGTAAAAGTAGTTTTTTTTACATTTGGTTGATTCAATACATGATGTGAGACATGCAACTTTTTAAATGTCTTTGAATGCAGTATTACATACTTTTAACATTAAAATAATGTCTCCCTGAAGCAAAATATCCCGTCCCGTATCTAAGTTCTGCTCCAATGCTGTAGGAAAATTTCATATGAAACTATTGTCACATGTGAACATTTTAAAACTTATTACAGATGGTCCACCTGATTGCGCTGGGCTTCCTAGCAGCAGTCGTACGTGACCCTCGCCTCATAGAGCAGCTAGAGCGGGATTCGACCCCTGATGCTGATTGGAGCGATGGTGGCAACAGTCTCCCTACCCCACTGTCCAATGTGGAACCTCCTCCGAGCTCATATATCCCACACAACAGTCAATCGAAAGACCATAATCTTATTTACCGTAAGTTTTAATAAAATAAAAGGGAAATGCAATGACAATACAAAGTTGACATTATAATAAAAGAAAATTAAATTATTATAATTTCACTATGAACTATTTTCAAATTGTTCACAAAAAAGCAAAAAGGATAAATGCCATTTTACTAACACAAACAAAAAAAAAATATATTTAATTTGCACATCCATTACATTGTATCTAATGAGACATAACATTTTAAATTACTTGGTACTTGGTGCAACGGGCTGGTGGATACCAGCAAGTAATTTAAAATGTTATGTCTCATTAGGCATAACATTTTAAATTAAAAACAAGAAAAATAGGTGTAACAATTTATTGACTTTGTAGAAATAGCTATAAAATAAAATCAATTATATGATTGCATTTTTTACAATGCTCATGAGATTTTTTAATAAATGCAAGTTATTTTTCAATTGTATGTTTACAAGTAGACATGGATTTTAGAGAATGTATGAAAGAAACATATTGTTTTATAACTCATTTTTAATAGTAGGGTATCCCAATTTATTTGCGTGGTATACTAAAACTAAATTAATTGTGCCATACTGTACATTAAAATAATTGTTGAAATTATTATTATTTTTCTATTTTGATTATTATTCAAGGTGGTACTCTTTAGTACGCATGCAAATATAATAACACAATGTGTTTAGACAAGAACTTGTCTATTAAGTGATTAATTTGCTTTAGACTTCGCAATTTCGCTCATACTCAGCATAAATCAGAAATGTTTATGTGAGAGAATTTACGAAACATCTCAAGTTAATTTCCCGAGTTATACGTAATTGCCAACTTACAACTTGCATCATGACAACACCATCTAGTAAACCTTGTTTCTTAGACTTTTAGTTCTAGCTTTAGATTTAATTAAACGTGTAGCGATAGTAACATAAAGGTGTGTTGCCACTAGATGATGTGGATGTAGGTGCACTGGTTACAGTGTGCACCCTCGCTATCACGCTCATGCTGATTTACGGCGCCTCGCGCGGCAAGCCTGCCCATCTGCTGCCTTTCTTCTGTCTCCAGATATTTGACTTCGCCATTACTGTGTAAGTTAACTTCATTTTTCTAAATTATTAGTTTCTTTTGTTTCTTTAGTTTACTATAATCAAAGTATGATTAAAACGTTTAATTATAGTAGATCAATATTCCCTTTGGGAATATTTTGTCTATTTCTGCAAATAATCGATCCTGATTATTTGCAGAACTGGAACAAGTTGACATTTTGTTAATTATATATATAATAATATGTACTATATGATGGAATTGCATTATCATGTAATCTAGTTACATTCAAAGTTCTGTTAAAATGTCTCTTCAAATTGAAATGAATAAATGAAGATGGTCTTTGATCCAATGTTTATATTCGGCAGTCCAACCATTCTTTTTTCATTTGTAGGTAAACTTGAAATATTAAAAAATAATAATAAAAGTAATAAAAACCTCGTAGTGAATTGTTTTAATAACAGAATATCCATAATATGTACACTTACAAAAACAACACTATCACAAAACAATCGTTAACAACAATCGTCAAAATATACAAACAAGTAGGCAATCTGAAGTAACCAAAGCAAAATTTGGCAAGATTTATGAATAAGCTGCTTCAATAAGTCTAATTACGTGAGATATTTGGGCTATTGTGAGATTTATAGACAGAAAAATAACCATGCCTGTACAATGTTACATCCGGTTGACTTTTGCTTTTGCTAATGCCACATCCTTAAATTAATGCACGCAATGTAATTATAAAGAAGGGTTATAAAAATAAATATAAATAGACAAACAAAAGACTCACGAAACCTATACAAAATATTATTTCTTCTTGTGACCGCTAGGTGCGCTGCTGTATAATTTTCCATACAAAATTGTAAAGTAATTTACGCGGTCGCTAGCGACAACTGTCTCAGTAAACTCGTGGTAGAGAATAAAAACCTTCTAAACATATACTTTTGTAGTATACTGCTGTGGTCGCTATTTAAGTTTGTCGGTACAATGGAAAAGTATTTTCGATCAGTGTCTATAAACTGCTCTTGCTGCAATTGTTTGTATTATAATATTTATTTATTGAATATCGTGATGTTATACTAGTATGATATTCGTATATTTTTAATGAAAATACTCCACTAGTTTGTTATTATTATTGATACAAAAATCGGAGAACACAAAGAAAAATTACCTCTATCCATCTATCCAGTTAAAAGAGTCCATGGCAACAGACATTGGTCTGCGAGCTTGCCGGGGCCACGGCTCTTAACCAACTGAACTTCAGACTGAGTCAGCAGTTCTTATGAATTTCTCTAAGTACTTTTTACAGATTAGGTTTAAAAATATGTATATTATGTTAATTTTCATGTGTTTTATGACCAGTTTGACGGCGACTGGGTATCTATGTTATCTGCGCTCACCACACCGACTGATAGCCGAAACCCGCCGTGTGCCGTGGCGCGCCGAGCTGCTAAAACTTCCCGCGCCAGCGCTTGCCTTTATTATACTTTCCACGTTCCTCGGCGCTGTTATTGTTAAGGTAATTTCACTATTTTATCCTCAATGGTCTTGTGTTTTCGTAGACGACTGTTAAAAATAACGAAAAAATCTTTAGATACCATTTTCGGAAAACTATAATCAACTTGGTTGACACGTTATTGCTTATCCGCATCTAAAGAAGCTTAGGGTCAAAAACTTGACCACATTATTATTATTGTTGTTACTGTAGTCTAGGTTCTACTCTATGAGTAGAATTACTGGCTGAATGAATATAGGTTTGTGTTTTGAATGATATTTAAAAAAAATAAGATTTAAAAAAAAGAATATCTCGGTGGTTCTAGATGAGGCTTCGATCAGGAAAGATGAAACTAATATTCATTTACGGAAATATCCCAGTTTTATGTTTAAAAGTACCTCTACGCAAGCCCAAGCTACGTTCCCATGCTATAAGTGGATCACTCACTAATTTGGATGGATATATCACTATATTTTATTTATGATTTTATGAATATTTTGAATTGCGCTTATGTGCGTAGTTGTTGATCATTCATCCAGATTAACAAGAACTGTCTGCATTCAAGGGAAAATATATTTGTTTAATTATTAGGAATCCTCCATATGATATTTCGCTTTATTTTTTTTTTAGTGTGTTTTTTGAATGAGTGCTCAAGCCTGTGTCATCGTCGTAGCAGCGTGCACGTTGAAGATTATTTAGCGACGCGTTTAAAAAGTTTTAGTGTTGATGCTTAAAGATTTTTAGGAGCATTCAGCCAAGCTAGGGTTTTAGATGAAATAAAGTGTTAGGGGTTTGATAGGATACCTAATTAGCTAGGATAGCTAATGAGTAATTATATTTTGAATTGTTTGATTAGGATGTGGTCATAGTCTGTTCTTTTAGATAGGGCTTTGGCAGATTAAAGCCACAGCCTCTCGGGGGTTTTGTTTGTAAGTGATAGCTTCCGAGCAGTGTGTGGCTAGTCTATAGTAAAGGCTGATCATATGTAAGTTGCCTATCATAGGTAGGCCACCAGCTAGCGATGTTCGAAGTTGTGAGTACACATGAACGCCGCGCCGGCGCACCGCCGCTGCCGCGTTTTTCCTCGCGCCGCTGCCGCCGACAAATGCAATCGGCGCGCCGTTCAGTTCGATCAGGCGCTCCGATCGTATGCACGCGCACGCTTCCGTATTGTATATGTGAAGATGGCGACGCCAGAAAATGACTTTTCTAAGATAAAACTTTTTTTTTTTTTTTAATGAAATGTAAGTTCGCGTTTGACCTCCATCTCACCTGATGGAAAGTGACGATGAGGTGGACGATGGATGAATGCCTATTCACTTTCGCCGTGAAAAGGCCCAAGTTATAACGTTCAGGGAACAAGTCTGCAGGCAGGGAATTCCACTCCATAGCCGTTCGCCATATAAATGTGGAACCGTAACGCTTCGTGCGAACCTTTGGATTATCCACAACATACCGGTGGAACCCAAGTCTACGCCTAGTCCCCCGGTGATTGAAAGGGGAAAGCTGAATTAAATCGTTTAATTCCATCGCACACTCTCCGTGATATATCCTGTAAAATTCTGATAAGCTGGCAACTTTAAGGCGGTGTTCAAGGCTCTGCAGCTTCGCCTCCACTAATTCCGAGTCACCTATAAGCTTCTTGGCACGGTTGTCAATTGAATCCAAGGTGGCCAGTTGGCATGTAGCAGTACTCCATGCACGACCGGATTTGTGCTTGGTACAGCTGAAGCAACTGCCCCGGTGTATCTGTCCATATCTACTGATCCCACAGTTTTTCGGAAAGACTACGGGCTCGACGGCAAGACCGGGGTACAGCGAGCGTCCAGGCCGAGCCCTCCGCCAATGATACGCCTTTGCCCATACCCGTGATACCCAAATCACGGTGACAATGCGGAACCCTGAGGAATCTATTGCCATATGTTCGGAAGAGTAGCCTTCTAAGACCTATCGAATCGAACGTTCGCTCAAGAAATCCGAGATCCAATTGCAAAGTGGGAAGCCCATAAAAGGGAAGCTTACTTAAAAGATTTGCATGTCAGACCCTGTCAAAGGCTTTAGAAATATCCAAAGACACTGCAAGTGCTTCACCCAGCTCGCACCATGTGTGACAGGCATACACAAGAAGATCCCCAGTTGATCGCCCTCTTCGGAATCCGTACTGGCGATCACTGAGGAGGTCGTTGTCTTCAAGGTACGACAAGAGACGGTTGTTGAGTACACGTTCCATAGTCTTGCAGAGTATGGAAGTGATTGAGATATATCTATAGTTGTCAGAGTCAGCTCTGCTTCCCTTTTTCGGCACAGGTTGCACGACCGGGGAACTACACCAGTCTCAAGTGAGAGGCGGTACAAGGTACAGGTGTGTGAGAACAGGAGACAACTCAGGCGCACAGTTACGTAGGACTAGTGCTGGAATTCCAGCTGGCCCGCTAGCTTTAATCACGTCTAGATTCCGCAGAGTTCTAAGTACCTCTTTTTGGCATAGGAAAATTGGCGCCATAGTGCAGCCAGCCTGAGGTAAGATTAGATCCAGACGCGAACTCTTTGCAAAGAGTGAGGCAAAAAGGTTTGCCTTGTCTTCTGCAATGTAGGCCAGCGTGCCGTCCGGCCTAAGCAGAGGTGACATAGATAGGCGACAAAAGTTAGCTAGTGACTTTATATTTAAAGATGTTTTGTTTAAAAAATTTATTTGACAATTTCTGGCGTCGCCATTTTCATTACGCATACATAATATGGAAGCGTGCGCGTGCGTACGATCGGAGCGCCTAATCGAACTGATAAAAATTTAATTAATGTAGAAAATACGTTATTTTATTTTTTCCTTTGAAAAAGTATTTGTATAACGGTTTTTGTAGAAATAAACACCGATATACAAATTTGTTTTAGGGTCGCGCTCGCGCCGTTGAAACGCCGACGCCGCCGACACTTTTTTGTCGGGGCGCCGCCGCCGGTTGGTCTATTATCGGCACTCATGTCTAGTTGTGAGGAAGAGGGATGTAGTTTAGGTTCTACTCTATGAGTAGAATTACTGACTGAATGAACATACGTTTGTGTTTCGAATGATGTTTAAAAAATAAGATGTAAAAAAAGAACCTCTCGGTGGTTCTAGACGAGGCTTCGGTCAGGAAAAATGAAATAAATATTCATTTACGGAAATATCCTATTTTTATGTTTAAAAGTACCTCTACACAAGCCCAAGCTACGTTCCCATGCTATATTACGGCCTTTTTGAAATAAATTAGTCAACTTGCAATTTTTACATACTTACACCAAAAAATGCGTATTGAATTTTTGCTTTTTATTGGAAATCACTTGGATTTTTAGACAAAAAACAATATGATATGTTTTTATTTCCAGGGCTACTGCATCAGCGTGGTCTGGCGTTGCTACAAGTACCTGACGATGCGTACGCACGAGATGCACAGCCTGACCCCATTCGTGATCTCGTCTGAGGGCGTAGTGGCTCCGGCCTACTCCGCACCTGCGCCCGCGCCGGACTACTCCAGCCTTCTGCCTGATTATGAGGAAGCTGTCAAGCAGAGCCCCCCGCCCTCCTACCGCGCTGCTACCCAAATGACTCAGGCTGATCCTAACACTATCACTGTAAGTTGTACCTTCCTGTTTCTTCTGGACTTTATGTAATATAATATAATGTTTGTAAATCGAAATAATGCTAAAAATTGGCCGATAAATGTTAAGTCCTTTTATCAGTGCTATGACGAAAGAAGATGCCAAAATATTGTTTAAACGTATACTGCACCACACTAGGCCAAGAACAAAGTGCTGTTTAGCAATAAGATTGCATTATGCACTTTATTTCCTTTTTTGTTTTTGTGTCAGATGCAAAAAAATGCATTATCAACTACAAATACTACTTGATTCCAGCCGGAGACTCCTGGTGAGCAGTCCCCACCGCAGGTCCAATCGGCTCCAGTGGGTCAACCAACCTTGGCCCAGCCCACGGAGACCATCGTGATCCTGCCGCCGCAAGCCGCGCCGAAGCCCGGCCTGCACGCTCGCGTCTGAATCTCCTCCTACATAGTCCAGTCTTAGCCTGATACGCAAATGTACAATTTAAATGTCTAGGCGCCTGACTTACCAAGGACTCGTGGGTTCCTTAGGGATAAGCTAAATATGTCAGTACGTTTCAATACAGTGGCAATACTAAAAGCAAATGTTGTATATGTTCCGGAACAAGAGTGCACAACACAAATGTAATTCAATATGGGGGAGTATTGAAACGTGCTGATAAATATGAACTCCAACTTACAAGTGTTTTGTAATCCATGACGATTGTCAAGACAATGGCGACGCGGAAAATGTAGTACTTAATTCATTCATTCCTGTCCAATATTTTCCCAAAGATAGGAAATAGGCTATCATTATTGATAATGATTGGCCGAGGCTAAGGCTGGAATGGTACTCTGCTGATCGCATAGGGAATTCACAATTAAATGACAATTATAATTTTTGGTACTTTTTATTTTATTAACCGTATTTATTTAGCACTCCCAAATTGGAATGCTTTTGTATGTACGATAAAGTTTGATAATTTATATTTGGTAGTTATTTCTTTCTATCGCTATGCAATCAGTAGTTTCTATCTTGTCTATTCATATTATCGCTTGTATTTTCGCCATTTTTTATTATCCACTTTCGTACACGTTTGTGTGTATTTTTATGTGTATACTTTTCTGTTGTGATACGTTGTACTATACATTTTCACTAAACATGAAAAATAATTTAAAAACTATTTATTTTTTTTAAATCAAACCACTTTTTTTGTGTCGCTCATATGTCACATATCCATAACTTGTGCCATTCTGTTATATTTCAAAATTTTATTTTTGTATATTAAAAACTTAAGGCGTGTCACTGAATTTCAAATTAAACGCATTATATAGATAAAATATCCTATGTCATAGTTAATGTGTCTAAATTAATCAAATAAATACTTATTACCTACTTTTTCATGTCTTAATATAATATGTAATAATACAATTTACATTCCTGTAAAGTTTTTATTTGTAAACTTACATTTATATAAAATAAACGTTAAAAAAAGTAAAATAAACGCAAAATGTACACACTATGGCTCAGCTTATATTACGGCGGAAGGGAGTGGAAGCGAATTTCTGTATAATAATTTTTTTTTTCTCGCGCATATCGCGGAAGATTTTGGCTTGTATCTAGTTTGTACTATACACAATTGACCATAAAGTTCATTATGCTATGTACAATATCGTTACAAAAATTCGCTTCCTTTTCGTTCCGCCACAATATAAATTGAGCCTGTAACTAAATGTCGCTTATAAACAAATTGCAATTATTTTCATCATTTTGCAAATTTTTGTATCATGTTTTTAGTCGACTACATGTAGAAAACTGTCAATTTAATTAGTCGCCGTCAATTCAGGACTTCTGTTAAATAACACGACGAGTTTAACAATAAATCACTTACAATTTTGAACATTATGGCCGACAAACAAGGACAAAATAATACGAAAACCAGAAGATTAAAATATAAGACTTGCTAATACCACCTTATACGTTAGGTTATAAAAACTTACAAGTTAGATTTTGACTGTCGCTATGTTGCGGAATTCCAATCTCTTTACTCACAACATGCTAAGAGACAGATTAATTGGCGACTTTGCTAGCTGTGTTAGGCGCCTCAGTAGATAACACGAATGACCAAGTTATTGGCCTCGCCAAGTTGCAAACCGTTTCGTAAC